TTTGGGGTAAAGGGTTTAGGGGTTTAGGATTCCCTGCAGAGAGAAGCCTCCTTCCAATGGTAATCAACAGGTAACACCAAGCAGTCATCTGGATTTAGGGTCTAGGGTGAAGAGATTACGGAGAAAGGATTGGGGTTTAGGGTTTAGGGTGTAGAGATTTCATAAAACACACACTGCCCAAGAGCCTGAACATTGCAAATCTTCAACAATCCTGCCAACACCGCAGAAATGTGCTCCCCCTCCTCTGTAGCTGCATGGAAAACCATCTAACCCCGAAAAAACAGAATCCTTGAATCCTAAAGCCTGAACCCTAAACCTGAATGCTGCATACAGAACCAGCAACCAGAATCCCAGCTCCTAAGCCCTAAATCGCCAACCAAGCCCCACAACCTATGTATCCTAACTAATACACCAAGTCCCTCCTAGCACCCTCAATTATATTAAGCCTATGGGGCCCCTAATGATAGTGGGTAGATGCATGGTCTAGGAATGCTGAAATAGACATGTCTACTGTTATCCAAGTTCCCAATTCGTTTTCCATTTGGTACTTGTTCGAAATCGCTGTCCCAAAATTGGCATAATGAAGGTTCCCTTTTGGGTTCGGACCCCCACGTAAGGAAGTCTATAGCCCATGTTCCCTTCTTTACAAGGACCTTCAGAAACAAGCCTAAAACCTGAAGCCCAAACCCGCCATCGCTTTTTATCCCCTTACATCCCTTTCATGTAAACCCATTGAGAAGGACCTCTGGAGCAACCACAAAAATCCCAGCGCGTCTAGAACAACTACCTATCCCAAAGCCCCTCGTTGGTTGTTTTCCTTTTCTTTTCCTGCCCCTATACAAAATACTATATGAGCCCAGCGTCCATGTTGCTTTCCATTTTCTTGTCTATGTGATTCTCCATTATCGAAACAATATCCCTCTATAAGCTTTGTATATCCCAAAACCCTATATAGACCCCAAGCCCTAATCCCCATTTATTCATATATATATATATAACCCTACAAGAAGCCTATCAATGCCGTTAAACATTCCCTTTCAACAGCCCACATATCTTGTAATGTCTGTAGGGGAACCCATGACATTTTGGGGTAATTTTGAATAGTTTCAAGTCCCAATTTACGACCATTTTTGTACTGTTCATTACTATTCCTTCTATAAACCACCCCGACCATTTAGGGTGAGGTCGGGTGAGGTCCCTAAACCCTAAAGCCTAAAAGCATTTCAAGCCGGGTTTCGGCAGAGGCTCACCGTCCGGGCCCATTGGGTAACCCATCTGCTCGGCAACGGTGGACATCCTGCTGCATGGAGTCCCAATGTCGACCCATGGTTAGGGTTTAGGGTTTAGGGCCTTAATTTGAGGATCCCTACTATAATCCCTATTAAGGGGAAGGGGGTTCATTAATCAGGGGTCTGGGTTAGGGCCCCCAGTTACCTGAATCGTAGGCTACTGGGCTATGTAACTATAAGGTATATAGAACCCAGTTCCCATTATTTAGGTAACTGGGAGCCCTAGGGAATTTGGGGATTAAGGGTTTAGATTTTAGGTTTTATGGTTAAGGGATTGGATTTTAGCGTAGAATTCAGAGTTTTGAAGCTTGGGGCTCAGGGTGCGCCTTACATTCTCAACTTTGAGCCCGAAACCTTAGATCGGTCATGCTAGCTTCAAGACATTATGTAGGGGTGTATCTAATGAGGTCTTGGGTACTAGGTGGCTGAGTTAGGGGGGATAACACGGGCAATTTAATGTTAAAGCTCCTTGACATGCTACCGGAGGAATTTTCATAACTGTTTCTGGCTTCCTCTGTGGTAGGTGCCACAAAAAGGGTGCCCCCAATATAGATCACACAATACTAGAATCCTTATGATAGGGATCGTCAAAACGGCTATAACTAATTTAGGGAAACCGTAAACCCAATAAAGCCCCAATAGAAGCCCTTTATCCCCCTTTGTAGGTGCCCATCCTAATTATCTGAGGAAAAAACCAGATCTACGGTTATGTGCAGACCTTCATACCCTAACCCCTAAACCCCTAAACCCTAAACCCCTAGACCTGGTTTCGTGCAGACCTTGACACCAGTCCAATGTCAGTCAGCTGCAAAGTCTCCAGAAAGTGCATTCTCCCTTATGTAAGTAGGGCATACAGGGTTTCGGGACTAGGGAAGATAGGGTTTGGGGATTAGGGGATAGGTCCAGTATCCCATAATGAGTGAAGATACCCTCAATCAGACTAGGATCCCTAATATGATTTAAGGTATATGTCCCAATTAAGGGATGCTGGACTTTCTGGGTCTCTGTGCCCAAGATGAAGTCTCTGTGCCCAAGACGAAACCCAGCAGTTTACACGTGCACGCTGGTCAGCTGAGGCTGAGCTATGCTCAGACTATGCTTCTTGCAGAAAAAGTCTATATAACACCAATACAACCCCTATATAA